CTCCCCCCCCACCGTGGTCCTCTATAGTTGAGTGGGTCCCGCACCCAAAGCGGTACGAGGAGGAGGCGTATTCCATGTGGCCGCTCTAGGATTTTCTGTTAAATCAAATAAATTCAATTTAAATTCTTCTTTGACCAAACTTTGTCCACTCATAACTTCCAAACTACAAGTCCAAATGATCTTTTTCTTTTTTGTAGTATTTTCTTGTGAAATTTTCTTTCCAGAAAATGTTCTATTGCTATTTGTCACTCTGTTAGCTAGTATCCACAATAGCTTTGGATTTATGTGATATTTATAAATTGTTTTCAAATATATATTTTCGAGGAAGAAGAGCTTGATGGTGAAGATCTAGAGTACCTAGACTGTCATCTTCACCAAGGCAAGCCACACAACCATTGCTTGTTGACTTGTCGAAGTCATAGTCCATACATATGTACTCCCTCCGTCCGGAAGTACTTGTCAGAGGAATGAATGTATCTAGACGTATTTTAGTTCTAGACACATCCATTTTATTCATTTTTTGGACAAGTATTTTCGGACGGAGGGAGTATTTTAGAGCATATTTGTATTTAGTTACTTATGATACTATGGGCTACATGTGCATGTATATGTTTCTGATGAATATTTTTCTTTGGTAGTAGCATGAATGCATGATCACATTAATAATGTTAATTAAAAAAATCACGGCATAAGCATTTGACTGATTGTATGAATATGGTTGCTTTAATATGGTTGTGTATCTTCACTCATTATGGAATTCAATAATAAACATGAGTTGGATCAAAGCATATATTCAATAAAGAAGAACTTGTTAAACTAACCCATCATTGGCTTGGTCTAGTCATGATGCCATCGAGTCAAACTTTCCACATGTGCAACCACATTTCCCTGGGAATGACTTAACTTAGGTCTATGCACATGCTCTTATTGGTGTCACCATCTTAGGAAGAATTAGACATGTATGCTAACCTGGCCCGGCTACCGACGTCTAATTCTGCGAACCTGGGAATGGTATGGTTCACATGTTATGAATAAAGTAATCCCAAGATGGGGGAAATATGAGATCACAGAAGTGGTAGAGCCTTTGCTAGGCAATGAGGCTAGAGATTCCTCCTCCGGGACATTACCCCAAGGGATATGTCGGTGACACGGTAAGAGTAGTGTGCAGAGTGTATAAATCAATTCGAATAGCCGAGTCCCGGGTAATGGCCGCAGTTCATACTAGGTCACACCAGCGGTCAATGCCAATGATTAATACACATGAAGTTTTCATGGTGGTTAAGCTCAAAGATTTGTGTTGATCACGAATACGATGTGGTGATAAGATATGGGTCATGAGGTGACTGAAGGTTGATAAGTGGTCGCGGTGATCAAGTGTGGACATGACCAAGGTCATAGACACAACCATGTGGTAAGTTGTAATGACCAAGAGGCCAATATGGTAAGGTTGCATAAAGCTAAGTGATAAGTTTGCATAAGATCATGGTAGAAATAGTATTGTTCTTGTGTTTTGTGCTGCTTCTCGACCATCTCATGCAGCTGCTGAGTTTCTCTTTGTAGCACTGCTCACATGCTCTGTGCTAATTTCCAGTCACCTTGGGCAAATTCTTCTTCTTATCCACATTGTTGTCATGCTCCGTGTCTTGCCCTGACCAACCATCTTGTGGCCAACAGTCTTTGGCAGTTGATCATTCATTACGGTGACACCCCCGAGCTTGGTGGCTACCGATTCATTTGTCAGTTTTATGCAAGAGTTCTAATCAACCATCATTATGCTAACATAAAACTTCCAAGATGTATCATTCATACATGTCTATGCATATGTGTGGTACGTATTTGACATGTTGCATGTTATTATTTGTCGTGAGCTTGCGATTACATTCAGTGTACTCACCTGACTTTTTATGCCAGATGTTGGAGATGCTGATTGTGAGTATTTCGAGAACGATCCTGCATGAGCGCTAGGATCGTGTCCTACCAAGGATCCCTTTGGGATGGAGCCCCACCATCGTTGTCATTCTGTTGCTAAACTCCGAGGTCTTTAGTTAAATAATGTACATATTACCGCCGCACGTATAGTGCCTTTTTGCCTCTCCAAGTGATGTATCGTGAAGACCTATCTACCCTATGTGTTGCAATATATTGTGGTTGTGCTTGATGCCAATTAGCATTATATACCAAAGGATGCGGATTCTTGGGCTAGTATGCAGGGCACATCCAAATTGCGGAGCCGGGGTGCCACATAATGGCTTGGATGTATGAACCCTAAACTGTTTGAGCCAAGTAGCCAACACACATCTTTGATCAAGCCTTCCAACTCTGACAAATCTAGATCGAATTCTTGTTTCCCATGTAGATCCAGCCCTTCAAACCTATCTTCAACTAATGGTTTAGGAAATGTTATTTTGTTATCGCCGGCATCGCCTCCCTCATAAGATCCATCCGTCGTAGCCCTATTCGACGTCGGATCTGCCATGCAGTGACTTCTTGTGGTCTACAGGAAAGGATCGATGCACTTGCGCCCTGCCGAGACCTATCAAGAACGATGAAACGATGGTTTTTGAACTAAGGTGATGGTAGCCGTCAAAGGATATTTGAGAACCCTAGAAAGCTAGGTGAATTGCCTACCGCACTCGATGATTGATGCAATTGCTAACGACAACGAAGCTCTCTTTCTCTCTCCCCCTCCCTCTCCCATATGAGGTAACCTATCAACCCATATGAGGTAATAGACCGCCATGCCTAATCTAGGCCACTCGTTCAAATGCAATGGCCGTCTAAAATTGTTCAAATTCATTAAATGGGTTAAAACAGAAGAACATCCTTAAACATGGTGATTCATGTAAAAAAATCTATTTTGAGGCCCCACAAAAAAGGACCATTTGAGGGGCCAAAAACTGGAATTTAATCTTCTTTCCTTGATGCAATTAAAGAACCTTTTCAACATTTCCTGTGTCTCAAAATCCATGTGGAATTCAACATTGGCTTAACATTGAACTTCCATGTTTTCTTGTTCCGATCTTTTGTGCTACAATCGAGCACGCCCTTAGCAAAGAGTGGATTCAGCACTGCTAGGAACATTGCTTCGACATGCATCTCCAGTCATGTGTAGCCATGCACGCAGGTCACACTAATCATGGCACCACTAGCACAACAAATTTAAAGAGTTGCCATGAAAAATGGCGATGTCTCCCTTTGATGGCAGACGACGCCGTTCCATACCTGTTTTAATTTTTTTTGAACATCAGTACAAAAGCAAGCGTTCATATACACGCGCATACACTCACCTCTATGAACGTACGCACGCACACCCTACCCTTATGAGGACCTTTGAAAGATTGAGCCGACATATCATCTTGAAATTTACGAAGTCACCGTAAGCACTTCGTCGTCGACGGGAACGTCTCTTCCCACTGAATATGCTTCGCCGGAATTCCTGAAATAAATTCAGAAATAAATGTGAGCACCAGGATTTGAAACTTGATGAACTGGGAATACTATAGTCCCTCTAGCTATCCAACCACAAATTGGTTCGCATACATGTTTTATTTTGCCCTAGCCGTCCTGCATTCACACCTGTCCAGTCCGGTATTCCCGCATACGGTCCCAAGCTGCTTATCTTTTTGTTGCCGACAAGGAAAGGATCGCATGGTTTTATCTTGTTTGGTTAGAGAACACACCGTGGTACCGGGCTCAAAAGGGTGGGCACGACCTTTCCGGTGGTTCTCTCAGTGCGGATCAACGCACGGGAATTGCTCACCTACAGGACGGAAACTGCTGCTTCTTTTCTGCACCGAACCACGGAGTAAATGGCACCAGACCACGCTGGATTAGTGCACATTTAGTAGCTGATATAATAAACCCTTACGGCAATTCTGCACTGAACCACGGAGCAACTGACAGCAGGTCACACTGGATTACTGCACATTCAGTAGCTGATCAACTGCTAAGACAACAGAAGAAAATTAGGGTAACGGCTACGACAATTCTGCACTGAACCACGGAGCAACTGACATTCAACAACTGATGAACTGACGCACATTCGTACGCTCTTAGGCCTTGCACAATAAGAGATGCTTAGAAAAATAAACCGAGTTTTTTTAAAGCACCGGTGCCTATTTCTACAGAAGAGACGCTTAGTTAAGCGTCTATCCTGTATAAATAAGCACCGGTGCTTAAGGAAAACCTGGTTTATTTATCTAAGCATCTTGCATTGTACAAGGCCTTAAGATGATGAACCTTAGCAACATACCCAACATGGTATTCCACCAACCATGCTACAACAGCGTCAGAGTGAAACTACCACAGCGTGACCTCTGAAAAAAGGGTGAGCGCCTCAGCACAACTACTCCCTCCATCCTATAATGTAAAGACGTTTTTTGACACTAGTTACATTATGAGACGGGGGGAGTAGTAGATAAATTTCTGGAGAAAGGGAAAGGAATAACACATACTAGATATTACAAGAAAAAGATTAGGGCAGGAACATGATCGACGCAACGGAATTAACAGAACATCAACAAAACTGGCACCAATACATAAACATAACATTCTGGAACTCATCCTGTGCCCAGCTCTACACCAGAAATCCCAAAGCCAACATTTTTCATCCAAAACTATGAAGGGAACCCCCGGTCATTCCCTTCGTTTTCTGCCTAGCTAAGCAGACCAACATATAAACCGACACCATATTACAGGGCCACCAGCTGCCTCTAAATTAATCAACTCATCAAGTATATTCACATCTGATCTGATGCTAACCAGAAGGAACAGAATGAGAGAGGAGGACAATGTTACAAGGTTCCCCCATTTTATCTTCTGTCGAATGCTCTGGCCTCAAATAAGCGAATCGGACTTGGCGGGCAATCTTCTGTAGAAGTTGAACGGGACAGAGGGCATCCTGCTGCGGAACCGGGGATGGCGCAGCAAGTAGAGCATAGTGATGACCAGCAAAACCTGGAACGGCGTCACATACAGCACAATGGCCACCACCAGGGACAAGAATATGAAGATGGCTGTGGCACGGGGGTCCCTCCAGCTCAGCAGCGCATGGGCTCTCTCACCTTGCGTCGCAAGGTCCCCGACCACCGTCTGCACACGGCCTCCAACACTCCTCAGCCTGTCGTAGCGCAACCTTACAATGTCAGCTGGCCTGTTGGATGGGAATGTGTCAAACTCCTCATCAAGCTCATCAGGGTGTGTGAACTCAGCCTGCGATAGCTTAGTATCCATGTGTGGTGGGTGCCTTGACCGGAAGCGATAGTTCCACAGTCCGATCATAAACATGTAGAGGAAGATGGTAGGCAGGATGAGCTCCGGGTAGCAGATCAGTATCAGGAACAACATGTGCACCAGCATTGTTGTGATCGGGTTTCGCCAGCTCCTGATGCCATCATACCACTTGGCCATTGAGGCAAAACCACAGAACAGAGAGGTGATGCGATAGAAGTTGGCCTTGCTGCGCCGGAGACTGAACATGTGCGAGCCCACATCAAGCGTGTACTCAACCACCTCCCTGCGCAGAGGAGGCTCAGCACGGCTAAGCCTTGCCGAAACAATCTGCATCGCCTGGTGCCTCAGGTAGTCCAACTGCATCACTGATATTGGTTGTGAGTAGTGCATCTTCGGCAGCAGCGGACGGCCATACATTGCCATCATGTTAACCCATGCCGTGCATGTAAACCGCACAGCCAAATGCAGCTCACCGGTCTTCTTGAGGCCACTTGGCTTAAGAGCCAGCAAAGGATAGAAATGGGTGTACACCCGGTCAGTCTCCAGTGTCGAGAGACGGATTCTGACCTTGCCAATGCTTTCATCCCGGGCATCACCATTCTTGCTCCCAATCTGGCTATTGTCAAACACCACCACCGTGATCACGGTGCAAGGATCAAACACCTCCCAGGTATACTGCTCATTCCACTGGGGATTCAGGGTGTTCATGATGGTTCTTGTGCGCACCCATTTCGGACCATACTTGGCAACACAGTAAGCGTCGGTGCTGCGACCATCCTTGGCCTTCATGGGAATCAAGTTGCGTGCACCTAGAACCCCCACCTCAAGGATCCCAATGCTCGGCTTCCGGGTGTGCTTTGATGATGGCTGGAGATCACTGCTGTAGTAAGTCGACTCGTCAAGAACATGGTACCCAAAGTCCAGCGACATCCGAAGCTGTATCTTGCTCGCGAACTTGCCCTCCTTCTTCTCGCCGTCGTCGCTGGGGCGCGCAAGGCTGTACCAGCGCGGCTCCACGGGCTTGCCGAAGTGGTCATGGCGCGGCATTGCGGCGTTGAGGGGCAGCATAATGCGCCCGAGCGGCTCGTCGCGGCCCGGCCCGACGCGGTCCTCCACGGTGACGAGCAAGGGCTCGTCGAAGGGCTCCGACGCGACAAACATGAACTCCTCGTTCCACATCGGGTTGGGCGTCCCCGGCGGCCCGCCCGGGCGCGTGCGCCGCACCTGCCCGGCGAGCTGCAGCTTGACGGAGGCGTTCATGGGGCGCGACGTGTCGTGGGGCACGAGGTCCTGCGCCCCGATGGCGGCGACGCGGAGGTACACGAGCTTGGGCGAGAAGTATACCTTGGCGCGCGTGGAGGCGACGGCCGACGGACCAGCCGCCCCATGCGCATCGGAATGCCAAGCCTCCGGAAACGCCTCATCGGCCTGGGTCCCGAGCCACACCGACAGCATGATCTCGCCGCGGTGGAGCTTCTCCCCACGCTTGCCGTCGAGCCTGTACCACTGGGGCGCCAGCGGGGAGTCCGGCGGCACGCGGACCGGGACCTCGGAGAGATCGAACCCTATGCGGCCGACCATGTCGTCGCCGCCGGCGAGATCCTTGGCCTTGACGGCGACCTCGAGCAGATGCGACTGGAGGTGCGTGGCGGAGAAGGCGAAGACCTGGTGCCAGGAAGGGCTATGGTGGCCGGCGAGGACGGCGGTGGTGCCCTTGAAGTTGCCGAGCTTGACCTCGACGAAGGGGTCGATGGAGCCGGTGGGGGAGACGGCGGGGAGGTCCCGCGCCTTGACGACGTGCACGTAGAGGAAGCGCATCGGCTCGACGAGGTCGTAGGTGGAGGAGATCTTGCCCGCGGCGTTGGCGGCGGCGGCGGAGGGGTTGAGGCCCGGGATGTTGAAGCGGGGCCGCAGCATGGCGGCCAACGGCGGGCGCGTCTCCGTCAGCCCGAACTGCTGCGGCGGCGGCGCCATCGGGCCCCCCGGCCCGTGCATCATGA